CGTTCACCGACTACCGACCCCTTGATCCCCTTCTGCTTCAGCTGCGCTCATAGACAAACATGCTATCCTCCGTCCCTTCAGTTTCAGCCCCGAGCATGAGGTCCGTGAAGTGAACCACTCTAGCAGGTTTCCGGCGATCAACGGGTGCTGGTGCGGAATGTGCATCAGGCTACGCTGCAACGGACCATATGAAGCCGAACCTGAACCTAGAGGGACGACGACTTGCCGCACTGTCACAGAGTCGCAGCAGGTACTACATCACTGCCATCTATTCGCTTTACCTATCTTTTCTAACTACCTCATTTTTTAGCATGTCCAAGTCTGATTCCATGATATTGGAGCGACTACGAGGAATGAGTGCCTCGCAGCATCATCTGGGCGACTCCAGCATGCAAATTTCACTTGATAAAAAACCTGAGACCTCCCCGAATGCGGGCGATCGTGTCGCGAGGTCAAGCCACAGTTGCACAGGTATGTTCCTAAGTGTTATGTGTGGCGCACTAAGTACCTTAATGATCGCGGCGGCAGCAGTAGGTTCAGAGCCCATATTCATTGCAATCATTGCACTGGGCTTACGGCGAAGTCGGGGCCGAGCCTCCTACTCAACTCCTACGTGTCTGTAAGTTGAGTTGCACTCTACAGGACCCGAGCTACCCATGTTGGGGGCCCTAATTATGCTGCATCTCATCGCATGTTGTCCCTGGCCTAGGTTTCCTACGCGTTCGGACCTGCGATCGCCCCCATCCGCTCAACATGGGCCCTCATGTGTTCCTGCTGAGCAGACTGGTTTCTTACACGAAGTTGCCGCACGAAACGGTGGGTATGCGTTCGCTCAGCCCATAAAAGCAGGGTAGCGACGAGTATTTTATCACACCGACTTCTGCTTCTCAACTTCATCGGATCCTCGCGTTTGTTCCCATCACCTTTCCTACATATTGTGGTTCCGCATTGCCCAGTATGAAGGCAACGCTTCTATCGCATGCATCTCTGCTCTCGATTGCGAGCGCTTCTGTCTTTGCGCTTCCTTCCGTCCTGCACGTCAGACGGGAAACCAATGGTGTGTACCTCCCGAATCTATCTAGCATTGCTCTCATAGTTTCAATAGCACAAGTCGCCCCAAACATCTTATCTCCTTCCGCCTTCGCGGCGACCTCGTTTGACTTCGTCATCGTGGGAGGGGGGACATCAGGGCTCGTCCTCGCACGTCGATTGACCGAGTCTTCTCAAGTTACCGTTGGCGTGATCGAGGCTGGCGATTATCGTCCCAATGACCCACTGATCTTGACACCCAACGGCGCAGACCTAGTCATGAATACAACAGATGTCACAACAATTGGTAATCCAGGATATGACTGGATGTTCCGGAGCGTTCCCCAGGACGGCTTAGGTGGTAGGACCATATCGTATCCTAGGTTAGTGCTGCGCCGCTGTTTATTGGACAGTAATTGACTTACAGTCGAATTTTGTAGAGGCAAGCTGATCGGTGGCTCTTCGGCCTTGAATGCGATGATCTATCAACGTGCGTCAGCCGGAGAGTACGATAACTGGGCGACGATATTTGGCAACGGTCAGGACTGGTCTTTTAACAGTTTGGTCAAATACTTCAAGAAGGCGGAGAATTGGCACGCGCCAACAGTCCGTTTACCTGGACAGGTCAAGGATCCCGCACTGGCGAGCGAACATGGCACGCAAGGACCTGTTGCAGTACGTGAACCCTTGAACGCGCGGCCTCCGTTTTATCGCATTTTTAACGACCGTGGTACAGATTACCTACAATAATGTCCTTGCTCCGACGGATGGGCCAATAACGGCTGCAGCTGAAAAGCTAGGAATCAAGTTCAATTCTAACCCTGACGGGGGAAATGTGTACTCGATTGCCCTTCCCGCTCGCTCTGTCGGTCCCGACGGCAGGCGTTCTTACGCTGAGAACTCCTATTACACGCCCATCGCTGGGCGGCCAAATCTGAAGGTCGTGACGGGGGCGTTGGTCAACAAGATCCAGTGGCGCGAAACAACCTCGGGATCCGTCCCGGTCGCATCTGGCGTAGAGTATACCGTCGACGGGTCAACTTACACCGCAAAAGTCAACAAGGAAGTTATCCTTGCCGCTGGTGCGCGCCCGTCGTCATTAGAAACTGACAGACTGTATTGATACCTTTTAAAACAGGCTCGTTGAAGACGCCCCAAGTACTGGAACTCTCCGGTGTTGGCAATCGGACGCTTCTCAACTCGCTCGGGATTCCGGTGATCGTGAACCTTCCAACCGTCGGAGAGAACCTCCAAGACCACCCTGTGTCAACGTCTGATTTCACGGTCAAGCAAGGAGTGTTCACGTTCGGTAAGTACTCTCGGTAGCCATTACATGTTACTATACGTTAAAATGCTGGCTACAGATCAACTTGGCACCAACGCCAGCTACACTCAAGAACAACTTTCGCTATAGTGAGCATTCCATGCATATCGTGGCACGCGAGACTAATGTACATCCTCGCTCGGTAGCGAGAATAACGGAACGGGTGCTTTATCCTACACGCCCGCCGTAGCTGGCGCTCTCTCCCTCCAGACAGCAGTGGACCCTTCGACGTTAAATGCAATGCTCAAGACGCTGCAAAGCGAGATCTCCTCCAAGCCGATAAATACTCTAACTCGCACACAGTACAACGCCCTCATCAGTATGGCGAAGTCCGGTGCAGGTTGGTTTGAGACGACGGTTATTCCGAATGGCGGTGTCGCCAGCACACCACAGCCTAATACGGGATACATATCTTCTGTGTCTATCCAGCTGGTGAGCGCCGCCTTCCTTGGCTCATCGATGACAGATGTAGGCTCAACAACAATCATTTTCTAGCACGAATTCAGTCGCAGCCATGTGCACATCAACTCCACGGACCCCTCCGCAGCGCCTTTGATTGACCCCAAGTTTTTTTCCTTCCAGTGGGGTATGTATCTTATCTATGCATTGATTCTTTCCCGGCTAATAAGCCATTCTACAGACGTTGATGTGCTGGCGTATTCCCTTCAGTGGATTCGAAAATGGACAAACACGACGCCCGCTGGTGCCCTTATCGAGGCCAACACCACGCCTCCGAACAGCGTAAACACCAGCGCCCAGTTCCGGGAATATGTCAAGAACGTCACCTCAGTACGTTTATCAACTTTCCGCTTTAACCGATGGCTCATCAGAGACAGACGACGAACCATCCTATTGGGACAACCGCCATGGCAAGTCACGACCTTGGGGGTGTTGTGAACAACAAACTCAAGGTTTACGGGCTTGCCAACGTTCGCATTGTAGATGCGGGCATCATTCCTATGACCATCGGTGTTGCACTCCAGGGAACCGTATACGCTGTTGCAGAGAAGGTATGGATGTACGCTAGATCAAGTGTCTCTGATGCTCATACACGCACAGGCGGCAGACCTCATCAAGGAAGACTGGAATTCAATTTTTTAGACTGGGAACATACGTGGCTCTTTGGCTCTTCTCTAATAATTCTTGGCTGATGGTGAACTTCATTCTACGAACGGGTACATATAATGTCGTATACGCGGCAGGCTGCCTTTTGTTATCAGTACAATACTTCCTACACAATCGGTAATCATATCTGAGTAATTAATATTAGTCGTGTTCATCACTCAACTGTCCTTACGCCGGATGCAAGGTGGTAGAAGAGGTACTTCGTATGAGACCCTGGCACAATGGCAACTTGCGAGTTACAAAACATCAAACTTGTTACTTGAGTC